TAGAAACTTTTACTCTCACCAAATCCATTTGAGCCTTCAATTGGATGAGTGGACTGAGACAGGTATATCAATCTTCAAGTCCCTCTCTGAACACTCCTTTTGCCAAGACCATGCTAATATAGGGTTACTGTTACTGCAGGCTTCTCCAATTTTCATTGTTGCAGCTTGATGCCACTGTTCACAACATTGCTCAACTGGCAATGGCATCTTCCTAGCAATGGCAGTTTGTCCAGCCAGTAATGAAGCATGGCTTGTGCAATTAGGTGTTCCTTCTGATATCCCATACTGTTGTGGTGTTAGGTAGTAAAATCACACCACTGCAATTTGTCCAGCCTCTAGGTGTTGGCGAGGCTTTTACAGCTTCAGTTTTGTCCAGATCGGCTTCAGTTTCATTTTAAAAAGTACATGACCAAGGAACTTGACTTGACTTAGGAGCAGTGTACAGTGATCAGTTTCAAGCTTTTGTTTTGTCTTCAGTAACCCGATGACTAATTGTTTTATGTACAGTTAAGGCACCAAGGTAAATTGATGACAGTATGTCCTTTAACGCAATGATCATCAGTTGCTCAAAGCTCATGGGTGTATATAAGGTCCAAATGGCATCACCACATACTGCCAAAATCCCCTCCCAGCCATGAGTGCTTTTTCCTCCTAACCCCAAAATGATATCAACCTGCCAGTACCCACTCTCCACATCAATTCTGAACACCATTTGGACCCAAAAGGTCAATCTGTAGATGTGTTATCAGTGTGTGGTGAGCAAATGCCTTATTTCAGGTCATGCTGTACAGCATCCAGTAGCCCATGTAGAGCATGGCTTATTCAGCGGTACCTCCTTGGTACCATTGAGAAATCTGCCGGTCACCATGTTCAGGTAGCACTTGTAATCATTCGAAATAAAAGCAACAGGTATTTTGTGTGCATAAGGATGAAGTCACCACTGATTTTTTCAGAAGAATTTGGCCACACCTGATCATAGAATATTCCCTTTCATTCCTTTACAAAGTGTGGTTGTTTAATTGTTAAGCTCGCTGCAGCATCCAAGACTTTGTTACGTGACCCATGACAGTCACACAAAAAGCTTTATTTTTGGCTGCTCTCCTCCTTGAAAACCTTTTTCTTTGCTCTATTTCTTGCTTTTTCAGAATGAGATACCAAACGCCATATCTAACAGGGCCCTACTAGTTAGAGTGGTTTGTCCACAAAACAACTGTTTCTTGTGAACTAAAAGCTCAAAAACTGCACATGATAACATGCTTCAACAAATGCTACATAACTGTGCATGCTTAAATGGAAACTACTTTTTTCTAAAATTCTTCTCAAAATTATATTAAAAATTTTCTTTCTCCATTTAGCTGAGTTTTCCAACAAAGACATTGTTCAGGATCTCAACAGGCTTTTGAAGCTGGGTGCATCAGGAAATAGTTCAACACTGCGTAAGTGATACTACTCACTAATGACAGGAAATTTTAAAAAATCATACTGTGGAAACAACACTCGTCATCAGTGATATGTGGGTGGGCCTTGCGACCTGAAAAGAAAGGCTTGGTACACATTAAGTAAGGGGCACAAGTTAAGCAATATTTAGTATGCAGTAAAAAAAAATTTTGAAACTTTTAGTCTGCAGAAAGAACTAGGTAAATGCAACTAGGTTAATTATTGCACAGTTTTGTGGTAAGATTCCTTTGCCTAGACAGCAAGCAGATTTACATTTTTCAAAAGTTGTCTAACACTGGATTCCAGTATGAGCACTGTACATTCTACTCTACAACAGAATAATTATGGACTGTACTGCAGTGTTCTTTGCATTATATTTTTCATCTGGTTTTTTAATTTAGCTGAAATGGATTTGACACATGCCACTGCTGCTTTAGCATCCCTGATCAAATACCTCGAGGTAACTTTATATTTTATCAGATGGTAAAGGTAAAGGTGCACATGAGCCAAAGGCTCACATGGCCGGAGCTTATTTCTGGTTTCCGTAGCATGAAGCATGCCTAGGAGTATTGCTACTCCCCCCTGGATGGGGTGCTAGTCCATTGCAGGGTTGCCCCCCAGAAGTAGGTCGCTGGTACCTATTTATACACCTGGGTGAAGAGAGACAAAGTGGAGTAAAGTTCCTTGTCTAAGGAAACAAAGTGACGGGCGAGGGTTGAATCCCAGACCTCCAGATCCAGAGTTTGAGGTGTTAACCACCCAGCCACACACGCCTCCACACTATCAGATAAGATGCCCAGAAAGAAATACAAAGGGATTTTCTTTGATCTTAGTTGATTATAAATCAACAGCCTGTAGCAAAATAAAGATCTTTCCAACAATCTCTCACTGCTCCACATTACATTAATTCACTATGGCAAGGTCATTTCAAAATAATAAACTCACAAGAACTCATCACCAAGACTTCATTATTGATTTTAACAAATCCAAATGCAAAATGTAACTTTAAAAAATAAACAGCTCTAAGGGATCAGAGCAAAATTATGATCCAATTTAATTTAAGAATACAAACATATGGGACTTCTGAACAATCAAAACTTACCAAAACTTTGTTTTAAATTTCAGAACTAACCTTGTGTTAAATATCTTCAGTTTCTTGCAGACGAAACTAATTTTGGGCAGTTTCACCTTAGTACCTTTGACTTGACACAGTTTATGAAGCTTGATGCAGCAGCTGTGAGGGCTCTTAATCTTCTTCCAAATCCTTTAGATGGTAAAACATCCATATTCTTGGTTTTACCATAATTATTAATAAGTTTATAGAAAAATGTTTTTCAGTGTGTAAAACAGGAATTTCAGTAGAAAATATCCAGGTACTCCCAACTGGAGTCCAACCTATGACATTGTGGTTACTACTCCAGATGCTCTATCACTGGGCTACAGGAGACTCAAGGGAGCTAAAGAAAGTATTAGAACTGTAAAGCTGTCCCAATACATTTATCCATGATTGTAGGTGTAAGGGACAAACATCCTGCATGCTGTTAGGTCTGGAATGTTAAACATCAAAGCCTTAGTTCTTACAGTGCTCATAGTTGTTTGGTTTGTCTTGAAAGGAGGGAACAAGAGTATGTGTCTGGTTGGCCTTTTGAATAAGTGTAAGACAGCTCAGGGACAGAGACTGTTGGCGCAGTGGGTGAAACAACCTCTCATGGATAAGAACAAAATTGGTGAGTGCTAAACCCTAAGGTAGGCTCTATATGCAGTGGTATGCAGTCGTTAATACAGACAAACAGTAGCTCAAGTGGTTAGAGCATCCGACTAGATCACGGAGGGTCGTGGGTTCAAATCCCATCTGGGACTCGGATTTTTTTTCCGAGTCCTCCTCAAATTAAACAGCTGTATACCATGTAAATCTACCAGTACAGTAAAAAAAAAAAATGAAGGAAACCTTGGGTGTTGATTGGTTTGTTTCTTTTTCTTGGTTTGTTTGTATGTTTTTTTTTTTTTTTGCATAATCCTTGCCCTGGTACCCGCAGAGTGAACCTAAAAAATATGTGGCAACTACTTGCAAGATGATGATGACACTTTTGCCAGAAAAACTTTCCTTCAGTGTGTCTCAGAGGATGAAAATATTCCAAATAAACAGGTTGTTTCCCTCCCTCTTACGAATTTAAAATTAATGTTAATATGCATGAACCTGGTACCCTTTCAACTTCAATAACAGAATCAACTATTACAATAACATTCTACTTGGCACTGACTACTTCACTTTCTTTAGAGTTCAGTGAGATTTTACATGTTTTCTTTGCAGAGGAACGTCTTGACATAGTGGAAGCTTTCTTTGAAGATACAGAATTAAGACAGACAATTCAGGTTTGTTTGCTGTGAGAGAATTTGAAGATACTAGCTCTTATAAAATTGTGTTTAACCGTAATGATTTATTCATCAGAAAGCGTTTGACAACCAAGATAATTTACCCTGAGAAGTAAAAATTAAATTTAATCCTAAGAAAAGAAAAATGTAGATGGAGGTGACACCCAACCAAAGCTGTTGTTGTCACATTATTTAAGTGTATTTAGTTCAAGACAGCACAGTGATCAAAACTCATGAGTGGTTCATAACCCAACTACTATTTAGGGTTGGGCACTAGCATCTGAAGTGGATGGCCTCTCAGATTTTCCTTTTAATGTCCATGGTTTCCTGGTCAACACTTTTGATCTCCTCGCAGTCATTCTTATTTACGCACAATTTTATATTTTCATCTTTAAGAGTGCACACTTCAACTTGCACAATTATATCCCTCAGCCTTCCATCAATTCTGCTTGGCACTCTCTCCCTAGTTCTGCCTGCTTCAGGCTTAATCAACTCCCGACATGCTGAGGGAAAACTTAGGCCGTCCTTCTGCTGGTGTGGCAGGCTGTGGGAAGGACTCTGCCCTGCGACTCCCCCTAAACTGTGAGCCAACTTTGTTGAACACTGCTCCATCTTCGGTGCTGCCAATGGTGGCCTGATGAAGACTGTGAGATAACCTGAACAGGTTCTGGAAGGAAGGGTGTCCTGATCCCGCATTCCCTCTCCATTTTCACGAAAATCTAGTATGCATATGCTGCACTTTTTCATTGCTTTCCTAAATCCTGGCTGCAAAATACATACATTAAAAAACACTTATAATTGTTGTAAAAGCTAGTAAGTGTAAGATGTAGATCGTTTTTTTCAATTGATATTTTAAAGTTTAGGTAGTTTGATGAAGTGAAGGGGAACATGGTGTTTAGTAGTTTCTGGTAGTCCACATTTTTCAACTTGTTTGCCAACACATGTACAATGTAACATGCTTTATGACCGGCTGTCTGACTTGGGACAGTGTCTGAATTCTCAAATTATTTTTGTTTTTTTCTCTATGTCTTTACAGGAGGAACTTCGCAAAGTCCCTGATTTTTCCAGATTGGCTAAGAAGTTCCAGCGACTCAAAGCAAATTTACAGGTACCCCTCTTGCAAAGTATTTCCCGCTAGATGATAATTACACATTACCTTTCTTTTTTATGGTTATAGTAATTTTGTATAC